CTTGTTTATGTAGCGAGCATCAATAAATAAGAAGAAATTTTAAAAATTCATAAAATGTGTGCAAGTGTCGCGATCGAAAAAAAATAAAATTCAGTGCTATTATTATTCAGTGCAAGAAGCACGATACAATTATCATCCAAACAACCTTTCAATCCATCATAATAATCTACAGGTACGTTATCTTGTCCTAATTAAGCAAGGGAAGTTCTTTGTTCGACATTGCACAGCAGTCACGCTAGATTTGAATTAGATTTATCTGACTTTTTCTTTTATATATCTAATGTTTCTGTTAACGATGTCCATTTGTAATCCTTCGCAGTCTCGTCTTGTCAAAATTGCAAATACTTCCAAGTAAAGCAGCACGATCATTTGATGATTTTGATACACTATTTGATGCACCACCGGATGCTTCACATGGCGGTAACGAAGGTGGTGGTGGTGGTGGTGGAATACCTTTACCAGGAACTGCGCTTGTTTGCGTAACTTCCACAGAACCTTAATAAAAAAAATTTTCAATGATAGACTTTTTATAGAGATTTACATATCATTCTAAGAAATTCAACAAAAAAACTGTCTAATTCGTCTCTTTAGAGATGTAAGATACATAACTAATCAGACCTGATAATTATAAGATAGATATTATAAAAACAACATCAAAAGATCTAAAAAGAATACACACAAGATAAGCTAAGGGTGTAATTACAAAATGGTTATTAGAAAAAATATATTTTACATGGAAAACAATGCAAAGCGATGATGAGGAAAAATCTTATAAAGTGAAAATGAGGATAAATGTGAAAATTCGTTAAGACATTAAGAAGACCTGAATGCTCGAATGACCTACGTGAAAGGAATGACCTCAGCTTGATGACTACACGCCATCAACTTTTGTGTCCAGCTAATCAAGAGATGTAAAAACGTAAATGTCAATTAGCATTGACGACAGTAGCAAGGAGGAGCATTATAATGACTTACGAAGCGATGGAGGAGTTAATGTTCCAACGCTGGTAGCCGTGGAAGTACTTGTGGGACTGTCCGAACGTTCTGGGCTCTTACCATTTATTTGCTTTGTTCCGTTTGTACCTAGTTGCGAGGAAAAACGTTGTTCTTGCGCCAATTTCTGCTCCTTTTTCTATAGAAGAAGAATATGAGATTGTATTTCGATCAATCATAATTTTTCATTCTGAGTTCCTTTTCTTTGTTTATACTCACAAGTTTATGTTTTCGTTTCTTCATTTCTTCTTCTGAACTCATCATTTCTTGAACTTTAACAAGCCTCTTTTGATGTCGAGCAACTTTCTGTTCATCGCGCAATCGTTGTTCAGCTTTGTTTACAGCTTCTTGTAAAGCCTCCTTTAAATGATTGCTCAGTTTAAAGTATGGCTTCTCCACAGTACCAATTGCCAGTGTAGCGCGCCTCGCTGATTCGAAGAATGGATGTTCCAATAGCTGTACTACTGTTGGTAGATCCTGTTTCAAAGCTTCCGGTGACAAGATGACCTCCAACAAATTTTTTAAATTTGCTTCGCACTGTGGTAAATCGGAACACGTTGCCTCCAAAAGCGGTCGTCCGAACGTCATTTCATATAAAACATGTCCAAATGAATATACATCAACCTGAGTCTGTTAAAAAAATATACATATGAAATGATAAATATAAGAAAACATCCAGAAAAAATATTTTTGAAGATTGAAAAATTCATATATTCTTTTGCTCTTTTATTTTTAATTGTTGTCATTAGGTATAGAATAACATATACCGTGGCGTGCAATTTACGCCTTTGCACCACGTAAGGCCGATAAAATGCCGGTAATCCTAGGAGTCCATTTTCTATATCCAATAATTTAGCGCATCTTGGTGTTAAAAGGACATTGCCAGTGTGTAAATGACCGTAAGGTAATCCTTTTTCATGAAGAAATCCTAAAGCTTCTAATATCTACAAATCATATTGTACATTAAACCGATTAATCTCAAAATTATCTCATTATAATATATTTTTGTGTGCAATAATTATTAACCTGATAACCGTACGTGGCAATTTCTTGTATTGTTAATGCTTTTATTTGTTTCGGATTTCCATATTTTTTTATAAATGGCTGTTTAGGCTTGGTGATACATAAAACGTCACGCAATGTGCCCGCCGAATAAAAATTTCTTATCATTAGTGCCCCGTTGTCTGTAACATGCTGGTGTACTATTGATTCGATGTAAGTATGTCGTAGAGAGCCTAGGGTCTTAAAAACCCCTTGTATATCTTTATCTTGTAAATGCTTATCAGGGCCAAATTCAACCCAAGCTAGTAGAAGTTCTTGTTTCGGGTTTTGACGATTTTTCACCGTATAGTAATGTTTCCTCAATCGCCATCCCATATCAGGAATGGGCTTGCATACTTCGAAATTGGCATCGCTTCGTAATGCTAATGATACTTGTTGTAGTGCAATTTCTAGAAAAGATAAATAATTTTCACATTTTGCGCATTTGCTTTTAATATCTAGAAACAAATTATACATCTTAATGTTGAAAAAAATTCCTTCATGTAATATGTAAGACGATAATTTCAATTAAATCATTCCACTGAATAACATTGGTCGCGTTCAGCAAAATTTTATTTTACAACTGTTAAAAGTTTTCTTCATTGAGGTAGGACTATATGATCTAAAAGTACAATTCAATCAGTGCAAAGCACTAAACGCTGACTTTGCTGAACATAGTCAATGCATTCTGCATCTTTATGTTTAATCTCTTTATAATACCCAGTAAACATAGATAATTGCTAATAGATATATATATACTTATAACATACGTAAATGTTTTTCTATGTTATATAGCAATTGTATTTGATGTTTGTTAAGCAATTTTACAATAATCTTTTTAAAACATCTTCAGAAACAATCAATCACTTACCATGTAATGGTGCAGTATAATTCTCAGGGTCTAAAAACTTCTTTGTGGAAAGTGAAGATGCCAGTATAGGATTCATTAGTATTATGTTTAAATAATTCTGTAATAAAAGGCAGATTATCTTCTACTTATTGTATTGTATAAAGGCAATAAAAATGAGCGTGCTGTATCGAGATGAACCTGCAGTGCTATTTGTCGCTGAGCTATAAAGTCTGGCTCCATGTTACCAATAATCCTTTTTGGTGGTAGTGGCAGGTCGAAGCCAGATATGGATAAAGCTGTATTGAGTTGTACGAAATCATTGTAACGTCTGCTTACTCTCCAAGATCTTTCGGGAAGTGGACCTCTTTGTGTTTTGATTACGTATTCCTGGATATACAAATCATAGTTCTTAGCATGTGTCTAGTAATTCGATGCAAAGTGGAACTGTACACAGTACAAATGATCAAAATTTAAAAGCATAACATTACAATTTATGCAGCTGAGGAGGTTGTGAGCCAAGTAATATATATATTCGTATAAATATATAAAAAACTAACAAAAATATCACAATGATAAAATATAGTTATTATAATCTTAACAGGCTGGATGCTCCTTCCTATGTAAATTATTGTAAATTAACTTTAATCTCGGTTTAACTTACTTTGTATTGTCTTCTAGTACTAAGAATTAGAACTTAGAAGTAGAAATTGAATTCTTCGAACTAGAAAATACAAAGCAAGTGAAATTAAAGTTAATATACAATGAAAATAGACACAGGGGAAAATTCCTTTTAATAATAGTTTCATTTAAACGAGACAAACAAATCGAGATGATTACAGAATAAACTGAGAAGGGAAAGGAGAGAGAGAGAGAGAGAGAGACAGACAAAAAGGGGAAAGAGGGAGGGAAAGAGATGTAGATAAGAGAAAAAGGAAGAGAAATACCGGAGTACATACCGTATGTCCGTCGATGGTCCTAGCATTTTCGATGACGCTCGTCAGCTGCTCCGTATCATCTAACAGCACTTTATTCGTGTATCTCTTCTCGAATAAAGCCATTGATCATTAGTCCGACGTGAGGCAGGGCCCGTATGGGGCCGATTGCGTTTGTCTCTCGCACAGTTTCTGCGCGTCGCCATACATTACGCGCTTCTGCTTCATTTCAGCATCGGGCAAACGCACGGCAACGACGGCGGCGGCGACAATGACGGCGACAGCGACGGCGACGGCGGCACCACTTATCGCGGGATACTTTCAATGTCAACGCTTTGCAACACAACACCACGCAATGTATCAAGCACGTAGGGGAGGACTGTGTCAGACCTCTCTCTCTCTCTCTCTCTCTCTCTCTCTCTCTCTCTCTCTCTCTCTCTCTCTCTCTCTCTCTCTCTATCCTCCCCCTTTCTTGACTCGTCGCGATAACACCTCAACGGCGCGGCGCAATCCGGAGCTAACCGTGTCGCATCGTTGTGAAGCCGAGTCCCGACGACGCTTCACGAGTCACTCGTCACTAGTGTGACATCACCAATCTTATGACAGGTGGATTCTTAGACCAGTATTCAATCAATCCTTGTATTTCAGACTGTTTGAAGTACAGTCCGTATTTTAGAGCGGTATTCACAGTCCGTTCTTATTTTAAGATCGTCTTAAGTAATGTCCTGAGACGCTAATGCAGCCCTCTTATAGTAGCTTATGACGCTACTTAAGACTCTACTTAAGACATTCTCAAATGGTTTTAAAATAAAAACGGATTATTATGAATATTAGCTTTAGAAAACATTGCCCAATATCCCACAATTTCTGTTTTGTTGCATGCGCACTAATGTATCAAGATAAAAAGCGCATTTTTTTTAGGTCTGTTTTCTGTGGCTGGACAGGTGTATGGATAACTACACTTTTGGAACTTAAAGTGAGATAAGTATATTTTGATATTTGGCGAAAACGAGAAAGAGAATTCTAGTGCAGTCTGGTGCAAGAAAAAGAGACTCAACCAAGAGATTGGATTGGACTATTGAATTATCATCTTTAAATCAATTGCGCAGTCATGTCGTCTTTGAATACGGGACGCACATCTAGAATATCTGTGCGCTGTGACTGTTGATCGAAAAAAAAAAAAGATTCGAAGCTTCATTCTGGTCGATTAAGTTTAACGTTGCGTAACACTACATATTTCTTAAACCATACGTTCAAATTTCTTCCTCATTCCTTTCGGATCCGCAGCTGTAAAGTAGCTGTGAGCTGAAAACTGCGCCGCGCGCAACAGCAGGTAGTTGCGGCGCGAGAAGGTGCAAGTGCAGTTGCTCAGACTGGCGTGCGGGTGCAATGTAGTGCAACTGAACGAGCGTGCGGAAATTGGCGGAAATCAACGGAAATCGTGCGTGTACTTCTATCTTCTTCCCTGGATGGATCTTAATGGATCTTCGTCCTTATTCGGACGAAGTGTCACGGTTTGCTGATTGTTTGAACTCGTTCGTCTGCGCGATAATTTCCGACGTGTAACGCCATTGGTCGACTAAAGCTAAGAATCAATGCGGCTGCAGTGACTTGGTGATAACCTCGGTGATCGCGTTGACTTCTCACAGTTCTCACGTTTCAATATCGAGGTCGGCGACGACGGCGACATTGGCGAAGCCAGGACGAGAGCCCGCGACATGTAACCGGATTCGGAATACGCTTATGTTATTCGTATTCTTCTTGATGCATCGCGCGTGGCTGAACGACTATTCTACGTTAAACCTGTGTGATGATCTCCGTGACGGTGACGGTCAACGAGTCGCAGTCGAAGCCGAGACTCCGAGGCGTCGGTAAGATCTTCCCGATTTGTTGACGAAGGCGAGGAGAAAATGATGGAAAGCTTGATAAACGAGTGGCTGGCGGACTGCAAGGATGTCGCGCCGTCGGAGCTACACATGTTCGCTAGAACGCTCTCGGAGGACAATGAGATCGTGCGGGCGCTTTATATACTCCTGGAGGAGCGCACCAAATACAGCGAGGTATTATACAAATGCCCAGAGAACATTCTTCGTTTACATGGGGAATTCTAGCTGGAATATTGCCTGCTAATTTCCTAACGATTATATTTGATATCGCTACATTGACAGTTTTAAATGACTCATATCGTGTACTTATTTAGAAAAAAAATAGTTATGTAATCATTGACAGATTGAGAATGCACATATAAATCTTTAAAGATGTGTTATAAATTATAGTTATAATTAATTTATTATATTATCTGGAAAAACAATTCGTTTGATATCACATACTTTCTGCAGTGACGGTTTTACGTGACTCATATATTGTGTACTTATTTAGAAAAAGAAATAGCCATAATCATTCATACAATGAGAGAATAATTATAATTATATTATAATTAATTAATTAGCGTTATTTCCTAGAAACAAAAATATGCTTTGATATCAAACTTTCTATCATTGTTTCGATAGTCTTAGATGAATCACATTGTGTATTTATTCAGAAAAAAGCTATATAATCATTGATACAATTGAGAAAGGAAGACATATAAGTCATTAAAGATTTGTTATAATTTATTAATTAATTAGCAGTAACTTGTAAATAATGTTAGAATATGTCAACAATTTCGGACATTTATTAAAAGCACATATTTTGATTATACAAAATAAAATCGGATATTTTTTTTTAATCCTAGATTATTGTTACAGTTAATGGACGAAGTGTGTAACCAGTTGTATAACTTTTATCGATCTCGAGAAATAGAGTTACAAAGATTCACCCTACAATTTCTACCAACGCTAATATACATTTATTTAAATTCTGCTGCACATGGTGATATTAAGGTAAGATTGTACTTTTATTGAAAATAAGAATATAATGATGTCTTAAAAGTTGGCAAAACAAAGAGAGTAGAATTAATTCTAACTATTAATATTTTTATTTGTTGCTTATTTATTGTTAAAAAATTGCCGAAGAGAAAATTTAAAAAATTTTTTAAAAGGCAGATTAAGTTAGCGGAACAATATAAAAAATATATATATATTATATTTGTTATATGTATATTGTTTTGCTAATTCTCCTTTAGCAGTACAGCATTTTTTAAGAAAACTTACAGAGCAATAAATTTTTTTCTTTGGCAACTTCTAGCATATAAATAAATAACAAATAAAAGTATTAGTTAGAATTGCTTCTGCTCACTTTATTCTGTATTCTCTTATTGTGTCATTTGTCAATCATGTTTTACATTATCATGGTATATAATTGATATTTAAGCAGATTTATGTAATCCAAAGAACATATAATTCATGACAAATAAATTAATATTTTGTATTACCATTTAGTCATAGAATTACTAAATATAAGAAAAGATTATTAAAATCTATAATTTCGTAATTCTATGACTAAATGGTAATACAAAATATTAATTTATTTGTCATGTAAATTACATGATAGATAAACTAATATTTCGTATTATACTGTATTGTACTCTACATAGAATTACAAAGTCATTGTATAGATTTTAATAATCTTTTCTTATATTTTTTTTCTTATATTATAATTTGAAAACAATTATAGCAAATTTTAACAATACATTAATAATATGTAATTTCCAGAATTGTCGCTCCCTTGAAACTCTGTTAATTGGATTATATAATCTAGAAGTGGTCGATAAATCAGGACAACAAAAAGCAATTTCATTTAGATTACCATCCCTTGCTATGCTATCTATATATCATGAGGTATGGTGGCACATATATTTTTATTTAATATATATATATTTAAAAATGATAATATAAAATAATGTTTTTATGTATTTTTAAATATATATATATTTAAAAAT